ATAAATCTGTTAGTCTTTAAGGTGCCACCAGACTCCTTGTTGTTTTTACAGATATGCAAAGTGCTTGTGCATTAATTAAAAGTAATAAATATTAAGAGAATGAAAAAGAGAGATGCAGCATTTGACCATTCCCCACACAATAATACTTCACTCTTTTCCTCTCAGAATCACAAAGCATTTCACCCATTAAAAGTAAAATATCCTTATGAGGCAAATATCAGAGGGGTAGCCGTCTTAGTCGGGATCTGTAAAAAGCAACAAAGAGTCTTGTGGCACCTTATAGACTAACAGACGTAGTGGAGCATAAAGCTTTCGTGGGTGAATACCCACTTCGTCAGACATCACCCACAATACGTCTGTTAGTCTATAAAATGCCACAGGACTCTTTGTCGCTTTTTATGAGGCAAATGTTAATCTCATTTATCAATGGGGAAACCGAGGCAGGGAGAGACCATGCAAATCACTTTTGCTCTAAGAATGAAATAAAATTTCATTTTGCCATTAAAGTAATGAATTAGTGCCCTTTTACTGACACTACTTAATGCAAGCAAACAGAGCACTTCTAACTTTAATATATATATATAAAAACACAAGAACTCACATCAGGCCATTCAAAAGCAAATATTGCTCTTTTAGTGCTACTCTGGCCACCCTGCCTAGTCTTAAATTTTACAGTAAAGATTACATTTAAAAGAGAATCTGGACATATTGCCTGTACATAGTATTTTCTGTGACCAAGTTAACATTGCAGGATCTTTTAAGTTTTGGACTTTGCATTCATCTTAAGTGTTTGACTTTTTCAGCCCTCAATACCACTTTAATGACTACAATTTTTGCGTGTAATTTTTTGGATTGAGTTTTCAAGCCGCCTTTCCCAGGGCCGGCCGCTTTCGTGAGATTTCGTGCTGTGCTTAAAGCCCCAGCTCCCGGAGCCCCGCTCGCAAACGGAGTCGGCGAGGGCTCAGCTTTCATCTCAGCCAGAAGCAGCGCTGCAGCCAGAGGGGGGCAGGAGCCCCCCGGACACAAGCCGGGCTTCATGGCTACGCCGCAGCCTGAGCCACCCCCCGCGGGGCCAGACGCGGCCGGCAGTAGAGGCTCGCGCTAGCCGAGCTCGGGGCCAGGCGGGCTCGAGCCATGGCGGCAAGCGGGGGGCTGCGCGGAGGGGAGCCGGGCGGCCCCGCCGAGACAGGCCCCGCCCCGGGCGGAAGGGGATGAGCGGGATCGGCAGGTAGCAAAGCCAACCCAGTCTCCTCACCCAGCGCAGCCCCGAGGCGGCCGGTGATCCAGGCCTTGCGGACGCAGTCGGTCCCCTCCGGGATCTCCCAGTAGCCGACCATCGCAGCGACAGCGGCTCTGCAAGGGCACGAAACAAAACACCGCGAGAACTCGCGGATCCACGTAGGGTCTCGCGATACCTTCTTCTCGTTCTCGCGAGCGTCTCTTATTCCCTGTGTATGAAAGAGCTTCCGTTAGCCAGCCGCGCGCATGCGCTGGGCGAGGCCGGACAAGGAGTCGGGGAAAGGCTGGAGCCATTGCAGGGATGCGAGCCTGGGTGTGTTGCTGCACCGAGGATTAGCGCCCTCCCGGCACAGCTGCCAGTCCCCTGGGGATCCGCTGAATGAGGCGGGTTGGGAAAGGCCTAGCGAGGGTGGCGACAGCACCGAGTGGCGGGCTGGGGTCGGTGAGGAAATGGATTTGGAAAGTGGGAAGAACAATAATCCGTCTGACAGACCCGCTGGGTGACAATTACCCATCTGCTGCACTGAAGATTTAACCCTTCACTACGGATGACTTTTAGGCATTTTCTGTGCAGGAGGTTTAAGGATCCAGACGTCACAAGCATCACTCTTTATATTTAATTTTCCTGGGTGGAAAGAGACTAGCATTGTCTGTTTTAGGGAGACATTGAGCCATATCAGGAGTTTGCTTTTACAAAATCAATTGAGGCTCTACCAAGAGAGAACTATGAGGGCACAAGACCTTATATTTTGTAAAGGACTTTCTACTGTCTCATCACAGAGGCCAATAGCTCAGGGCCTGGAGTTTAAAGAATTATAGGAAATAGGCTTTCCCACAATCAGGGTTTACTTTCCACAACATCAAAACAGCTTTGTGCAGCCCAGCCACCCCTATCAAGAGGAGGCATTGCATGTTGGGATTTGAGGCTTTACCTGTCATGTCATTTGTGTTCAAAATAATAGCGACCATAGGCGCCGTAGGCGTTGTTTTGATGTTGCAATTTGGGCTCTCACCTCCCCCCGCCCGGCCCCCTCAGGCTAGCACAGCATGATAACATAAGCCCTGCTACCTGAAATCTGTTGGCCCCAGCTGGAGGCTCACTCCCAGGCGCAGCATAGACATACCTATTGTAAACTTGTAAAACTTGAGGAATGCATTTGAGCCATGAGAAAAAGCCATCCTTCCACACTGTAGAATCTGTACGTTAGTCCAATACTGCCGCTGTGATCAGGCTGAAGCAACTGGTGTGTGTTTGTTTTTATGGTGAAATTGCTGTCAGGGAACTCTCTTCTTGCTAAACTTTGTGCCCCAATCAAACTGTAAAACATTTCCTTTCCTGCAACAAGTGTGTGTCTTGTTCTGGGAAAGAGCTTTATGGAAGAGAAATACAGAGCATCTACAGTGCCCTGCTAGCATAGAAATGGACTGGAAATTTTATGCATTATTTATTAATGTAAAACAGAAGCTATATAAATCCAGCTTTTTCCACACTTCTTGAACATTGCTTTTCTGGCTGCCCTCTAACCACTTCACAAACAGTGAGTATACCTCTTCGCTCTCTAAATTGTTGTATTATCAAAAGTGAAATGAGGTGAAATTGGGCAAAAGATTTGTAAGGATCTTTCAAGTTAGCACTCCCCTACACCAGTTGTTTTCAAACTTTTTTTCTGGAGACCCAGTTGAAGAAAATTGTTGATGCCCGTGACTCAACAGAGCTGGGGCAGAGGGTTGGGGTACGGGAGGGGGTCTGTGGCTGGGGGTCTGTGACATTCCCCTGGTGTTATCCGGACCGGTGATCTGCTAGGTCACTTCAATCCTTGACTCTGGGAGCCACCCTTACCCTGCTCTGCTGTGAGAACCTCCACTCCTGGGCTGTTCACGCACAGCCTGTGGCATGTAAGCTGCTCCTTGGATTGTGCAACCGAATAACACTAGCCAATATCTCCGGTCCCAGACACAACCCTAGGAACCTCCGTCTTGCAGTGTCCAGTTATGTCCACTGGACGCCGCAAGCTTATATGAGTTTGTCAATTTTTAACAAAGAAATTGATATGTATCAGGCTTGTTATCCCAAGGGGAGTCTCTGACACGCTTCAAACCAAACACACTGCTTCATGTAGAATAAACAATTTATTAACTACAATAGATAGATTTTAAGTGATTATAAGTCAAAGTATAACAAATCGGATTTGGTCAAATGAAATAAAAGCAAAACACATTCTAAGGTGATCTTAACACTTTCAGTGCCCTTATAAACTTAGATGCTTCTCACCACAGGCTGTCTGGTTGCCCTTCAGCCAGGCTCTCCCCTTTGATCAGCGCTTCAGTCGCTGGCTGGTGATGTCTGTAGATGGAGGTGGAAGAGAGAGGAAGAGCATGGCAAACGTCTCTCCCTTTTATCATGTTCTTTCTTCCTTCTTGGCTTTGCTTCCCTCCCCCTTCAGATTCAGGTGAGCATTATGTCATTGTAGTCCCCTGATTGACCAAGGGAAGGGGGGTGACTCACTGGAGAGTCCAACAGATCCTTTGTTGCTGCCTAGGCCAATGTCCATTGTTCCTGTGAGGCTGGGCTGGGTTTGTCCCATACATGCTCTGATGAGGTGTGAACGGCCCCTCTGTTCCTAGAGAGTTCTGCCTGGGCTTGTTTAAGCCATGAGGATACATTTTCAGCCTCATAACTATATAAATGAAATTACACTCTATAACAAACATTACTATAACAACTATGCTCAGTGCATCATGAGCCTTCCGAAGACACCCGACAGGACAAACTTTGCATTGGATACCACACAATCATATTATAAGGATGAACATGGGTGTGCAGGGTATTCCCCCAAGGTACAGAATGTCACAGGGTGCAGACTCTGGGATGGGGCCAGGGATGAGGGGATTGGGGTGCAGGACGGGGCTCAGGGCTGGGGCAGAGGGTTGGGGTGTGGGATTGGGGCTCGGGCTTACCTCAGTCGGCTCCCGGTCAGCGGCGCAGAGGAGGTGCTAAGGCAGGCTTCCTGCCTGTCCTGGCACCGCAGAGTATGCTGCGCTCCGGAAGCGGCCAGCAGCAGGTCCGACTCCTAGACGGAGACACACAAGTGGCTCCGCGTGGCTCTCACCTGCAGGCACCTCTCCAGCTCCCATTGGCCGGTTCCCAGCTAATGGGAGTGTAGAGCTGGTGTAGTGCATGGAGCCCTGCGCCCCCTCCGCCTAGGAGCCGGACCTGCTGCTGGCCGCTTCTGGGGCACAGGGCAGTTTCAGAACAGGTAAGGACTAGCCTGTCTTAGCCAGGCAGTATGACTGACGGGACCAGAGCCGCCATGACCCAGTGCCTTATATTCTGCGATCCAGTACTGGGTTGCGACCCGCAGTTTGAAAACCACTGCCCTACCCCATTACTCCCAAAGCACCCCTCTTCCTGGGGTGCCCCAGCCCCCCTTTTCCCAGGGTGCCATCCACCTGCCTCAAAGCACCTCCTGCTCCCAAAAGGGACCCTCTGCTGGGAGGGGGCATCCCTCTGCCCCCAAGGGGCCCACCCCACGCCAGTGGCCCTGTTCTGCTCCAAAGGGCTCCTCTGTCAGGGAGGAGCATCGCCCTACCCCCAAAGGGCCACTCTGCCCCCACAGCGACCCCTGCCACCAAAGGACCCCTCTGCCCAAAGCCCGGGTCCCCCAAGTCATTGATCCAGGCCAGGATGGAGCGGGCTGGCTGGGGCGGGGCTTGCCACGCCCCGCCCCGCTCCGCTCCTTGGCCGGCGGGGCGGGAGCCCACAGCCGCGGAGGGACTAGCCGGGCCCGGCCGATATGTCGGCGCCACCGGCCGTCCAGATCCGCGAGGCCAATGCGCACCTTGCGGCGCTGCACGGGCGCGTGGCGGAGCTGGAGCGGCGGCTGGGCGCGGCCGAGCGCACGGTGCGCGGGCAGGCGGAGAGTCTCATCCGCAAGGACGGCGAGCTGCGCGCGGCGCTGCGGGAGCTGGGGGCTGCCAAGGACAGGTAGCGCCGGGGGCAGCGCCTGGCGTCTCCTCGCGGCGCGGCCCGGCCCGGCCCGGACTTGCCTGGCTGCCACCGGGCGCGGCGGCGCCGCTCGGTCCCGCCCCCGGGGGCTGAGCGTCCAGGCCGGGGGAAGGCTGGGCTGCGGGAATGTGTAACTCCCCCCCGTGGGGGCCGACAGACCGACGTCCCGCCCCGGGCCCGGGCCCGGGCCTCGGCTGGGCCGGTCAGTGGGGTGGCCCCGCTGTGAGACCAGCCCGGAGGCCCAGAGTTAAGAAGGACGGCAGGGAAATACGAACTGGCCCTAGCAACCGCTTTGAGCCTTCGCTAGCGCAGCCCCGGCTTTGTGCGCGGGGACACAGTCGTTCTGCGAGCCCCATGTACCTGGGGAAGTAGGAATTCAGGCGAGGTAAAACGTGCGTTCAAATGAGCATGGCCACATGTAGAAAAGCATAGGCCAGGATTGGCGGTCAGGTGGGCTTTTGGCTGATGGTAGCGATGTATGGAAAGGATGTCACTGGATTGTAGGGTGACCAGACAGCAAATGTGAAAAATCGGGACGGGGTGGGGGGTAATAGGCGCCTTTATAAGAAAAAGACCCAAAAATCGGGACTGTCCCTATAAAATCGGGACATCTGGTCACCCTACTGGATTGCTAACTTCTAATCTTGACAAAAGCAGTCTTGTGCCCCCTCTCCCCCCCACAAAATATGAATATGACTGATGTAGTGTACAATAGTCGACAGAGCTTCTTAGGTTCAGGTTGTTTAACTTCTTATTAGAGGGCTCTATTTTCAGTTGCTTGTTACTTTGCCAAACTATAACCAGTCATGATGAAGTTTCTTCATACCAGGTCTCTGTCTCAGGCTGAATTTGTTTTGGAAAGTTTAATTTAAACTTCTGAGAACAATGGTAGGGACAAGTTATGGCCATGTTTTGTAGTAAAGGTTGCCAAGTCAAGTTAGGAAATACCAAACCTAAGGTTGCTTGTGCAATTCTAAGTCAGTCCCCTTGTACGCATGCATGATGGTGATTTCCTGAGCATGGCTCATCCTGCACGCTGAATAAGACAGGACTTCTGAGGGAAAAAAGTATTTGATCATGTATTCCTTAATTCTGGTATTTCCTAACTATTCAATGCTTTACTTTGAAACCTTGGTGTTCTTTTAATGTGTTTTCTTAAAATTTTTAAAAGCAAACTGAAACAATAAAAATACCTTCATGTGAACTATATTCACCATCAAATGTGTCACTAGCAGGGTCAGGACCTTTAGCTCAAACTGCAGACTTCTACCGCCTGAGTTAATTGAACATCTGGTAGCATTAGTAGGCTGTTATCCTGTATGTGGACTGATTAGAGGGGAAGAGATAGTACCAATCCCACTGGTAAAATGGGTATCTGCTGGATAGTACCAATCCCAGTATTCCAGCAGAGGAATATTGAGACTCAGGAATCCTGGGTTCAGTTCTAGGTTCCAGAGGAGAGTATATTCTAGTGATTACAGACCCTTCTGTCCCCATCTTCTGTTCTCCTCCCTGTCTTACATGCATATCCACTTATCTCCCTGTTCCCTTCTGCTTCCAGCCTGTGTCCTTCCTCTGTTCCTCAGATACAAAGGGGTGAGTAAGGTTGCTTCTGCCGCCTCCTTGCTCCCTTGATGCTAGCAGGATGAAAGCAAAAGGAGCAAGTGTCTCCAAATTCTGGAGCTTGGTGCTACAACAGAGGTGCAAGGATGGGAAAAGTTCTGCTCAGTCACAATATCATGGTGGGGGACATGTGCAGTCCAGTCAGCATGTAGGAGCTGTATGGAGATGGCGCATACTCAGTGCAGATAGTCTTTGGAGAATTTAGCTGCCAGCTTCTAACACACTGAGCATGTGCAAACTAAAGTTTTCACTGGCTTTTAACTTGCCCACATGTAGGCAATTTTTTACAGTTACAGCAAAACACACCTCCCTGACATCAGTTGATCTCCCTTGCCAAATTTCATATTCCTGTTGCAGGGCTTCTCAAAGAAATGGTTGTAAGAATTTTTAACATGGGCAAAACAATGTATTTTTCCCTAAACTCATTATCTAGAATGGCTGAACTGTTTTAGTTGAAACTTTCATAAAAATTCAGTCCAAGGGGCAGACACCCAGCTTGGAAAATTTCAGCCTGAAAGATTAAAGTTTGGCAAAACTATAAGAAACAAGGTCTTATAATGGAAAGTGTTAGTTAAGTATCACTATTTGCACTGCCAGTGCTGTGTTAGAACTACATAAACAGCAGACCCAAAGAGAGGGACATGAGAGAGAGATTCAGGAAGCTTGAAATGATATGGGGATCATTTCTTCAACATTTTATATAACCTGTTTTTTTGAAACCGAAAAACACTTCAGGTCTTTATAGGATGAGGGCAAATAAGTGAGGAACAGTAGTTATGTGCATGGCTATGTTTTAGTAGCCTTGTTTTGAGACTATTTTTCTTCTGTTTTCTTCTAAGAGAAATTACTGCTCTGCAGCAGAAGCTGCTCTCATCTGAGGAGACAATTCAGAAGCTGTTGAATGTTATCCAGAAAAAAGATGACTTAATTGTACAGCTGAAGCACAGGAGTCATCTTCTGACTAAAATCTGCAGAAACCGACCCATCCTGGACAATCTTCTGTCTTACATGGCAGAAGGGGAACAGTTAAGTACCCTTCCAGGGACCCAAAGTGATTCCAGTTCTCCGGTTCATGACGAGTTCCAGGAGTCAAACTGCATCACCAACCAGATATCAAAGCACAAGGACTTCTCTCTCAGTGAAGATGACCTGGAAGATCAGGAATTGGATACGAGCCAGTTTGGGACGACAGTGTGAACTGAGTGTGGAACATGACCTTTGTTACAAATGCTCCAGTTCCGATTTTTAAACTTCCTTCTGTTTTTTTAATCTTGTCCTGAAAGAACCAGGTTCAGATGGGAGTCTGTCCCCCACCCCCTCAGTTCTTGCAAGTAGCCTTTTCTATACCTCCTTCATTGAGGACTCAGGAAAGTAGGCTTTATGCAATACTACCTACTTGAGTGGATACTAAACCTTGATGAAATGGGCACTTATGGGTTTTCCACTGTTCCTTTATCATGGGAATCTTTTAATTCCTCCTGTCCTTCAGTATTTACTTTCCTCTGTGACCCCAAACACTTCATGTTAAGGATACTTAAGTCAAACGCTATATGCATAGTAAATCTTCCAGCACTGGTGGCCAAATGTATCACCATCCACTTTCAGCTTCTGTTGGCCTAAGTGCTGCTCCTCATCCAGGTCTGCTGTATATCAGAGCCATAGACAGTGATTGATTAGAGCAAGATGTTTATATACCAAATTCTAGGACGTGATGTCTGAGTCTATAAACCTATAAAATATTGTGCAGTCTTGGGAATGAAAAATCTAAGTGCTCAAAGTTCTACATGTTTCAGTCAAAGGACGTATTAAATTAGTGAAAAGCTATCTTTTCTGGGAAGTTTGGCTGCATTGATTTTAGTTATATGTTGAATTCCTAACCTGATGTTTTGTTTTTGAGATTAGATTTGTTAGTTAAGGTTAATCAGATCTCTTTTCTTTTGCTCTATGGAGTTAGCACAGAAAGAAGGAAACTAGTGTATGGGTTTGAGGCAGATTCACAATGTAAATGGAGGGAATCCATTTTCTGAAATTCACCTTTTTTCCAGATTGTGTCTTGACTGTTTTAAAATTAGAGTGGAGGAATTAAGGGGAAAATATTGCATTCATTAGTAAGAGGTGTAGTCACTACAGTTGGTGGTGGGATTTTAAGGAATATTATGCATAAAGTTAAGTTTCTGGGTAGAAAGGTTGGTTTCTGACTTGATCACTCTGACTTGCATTTAAAACTTGGTAGAAAATTTAATCTATTTTTAAGCTTTTTAAAATTCTGCCTCTACTGTCCTCTTACAGCTTTAAGATTGGCACCAGTCACTGCATGGAAACTTTGCTGCTGCACAAAGTGGCCAGCTGTAACCTTTCTGCCTTTGTCTAGAACATGTAGATTTTCTCTGTGGTCGAACCAGATTTCTTCTCCAAATTCATCTTGTTTAAACTCTCTGACTGACAGCAGCTCTATATGCAATTCCCTGTAGCTGGCTAAGTACTTTTTTATATCTATCATAAAGACCTGCTTTTATATGGGATGTTCCTTGTTCAGAATTCTTCAGTGGGAAACAAAATGTGAGAACGGGTATTCGACTTCAAATAAGAGTAAAGGAAAATCTCTTAAAATTCCTTTTTGAGAAACTCTTATATGCAACATATTTATACCACCAGAGTGAATTTCCTGTATTTTTATAAATCTAAAACCCTTGACTACTTTTGGTCACTAAAGATTCCTTTGCATTTTTTGCAAAACAGGGTTTTGGCAATTATGTCTTGCCATATACTAACTCAGGTAAATACATTCTGCCTCCATATAGTCTCTGCCATTTACAGTCAATAAATAATTCTTAACTTCTCCTTCATCAGATGTGTGGGAATAGTGCTGGTGGCGCAGGATGGACACAGTTACATACAGTGAGAATGGTATTTTTGTAGTGGGTGGAGTGACCTCTGTTTGAAGAGTTTATAAAAGCACTTGGTGATTTGGGATTATAGGTGCTATGTAAACATAAGGGATTATCTCTTTACAAGTCTAAAGTAAATGTGCAATTTCTTGTGAACATGTACATTATGCAGGTCTGGCCCAGCCTATGTGGTGTCCCTTCAATGCAAACAATCAACCTTCAGTGCAATAAAAATATCCCAGTGTATTTTTCATCTGAAATTGTGTGTATAAAATAATTTTACATCTGCCTATATAGAGTTAGGAATTCCTTTGCAGTTTGTCAGATTCAGATGCAGATATTTTGCACTTAACAACAAAAAAGAACGTCTTGCTCTCTTGCAAGGTGTCTCCCTTCCCCAGTGGAGAAGAAGGGGTCAGAAAGGACCCAACTGTGTGCAATGGCAAGAAAGACAACTGACTCAAATATGTGTCCAAAGCAATAATACTTCTCATTGTTTAAGCTGCAAGTGCTCCTGTCATGACCTTGGTGTAAAGGATACAAGATATGGTGGGACAGTCAGCCTTTTGAAGTTTCAACCACTATCTCATTACACTCCTTGCCTCTTCTAGTTGTCAGAGTTTGGGATGCATAACTCCCTCCACAGCAAAATGAGACTGTAACCCTAATTAGCATATGTGTTTGTTTGTTACTATTGTACAATTAGGGTGCAAGAAAAAATGTAGGACCAAGGGAGCTCAAATTAATCTTCTTAAAACTGTAACATTCAGGCAACTGGGCAGAAGTAATGTTCTGTGACTTAGGAGTCAGTAGGTTTCAGGAAACTGGCTGCAAGTGCTTTTGTTTTGCTATTGCTGTGTTCTTCCTGGTAAATTGGACCAAATGGATTTGAAGCACTGGAATGGGTTACCTAGGGAGGTGGTGGAATCTCCGTCCTTAGAGGTTTTTAAGGTCAGGCTTGACAAAGCCCTGGCTGGGATGATCTAGTTGGGGATTGGTCCTGCTTTGAGCAGGGGGTTGGACTAGATGACCTCCTGAGGTCCCTTCCAACCCTGATATTCTATGATTCTATTTGTGGCTTGTGAAACCCTAATGGGAAAGATAAAACTATGTTTAGTTGTGTGCTGTCTCTGCCTTTATTGGCACTGATCTCATACACTGGTAAAGTTCTTAAGGCTCTGCTTTGTGGCTAGTGTATTAAAACTTTCACTATACCATTTGGCCCTAATGAGGCATAGTCATTTTCAAAACAACCTGAGTACGCTGGTGGATTTTAGAGCACTTTGAAAGATCTGCTCTCAAACAGAAAGCTCTGCTCAACTGTATTGAATCTGATGGCTACAGAACAACAAAGCTGAAGTTGCAAAAGTATTTAAACTATGCTGAACTCATTCCATGGCCTTGAACCAAAATGTTGTTAAAAGCACTATATCCGTTCGTTCTCTACAGTGAAATAGATTCTGCAGGCAACTCCATGTCTGCAGATCTCTAAAGAAGGAAGAATCCAAATCCTAAGCAGATATACATACTTTTAAATCCTTTGAGAAAGAGGATGATATTGTACATTCCTTCAGCTCCTGTGCAATTCAGAGTTTTTAAAATCTTTTGCCTTCCTTAACTTTCCAGGCCTCTTTCTAAAGTTTAAGGATGTAAACTTGTGTCAACATTTCATCCATTTATCATCTGTTTGTTACTGTGGGTGAAGGGCTAAGCAATTAGTTACTATTTTAAATAAAAACTCATTTAAAGTTTTTTTTTCTCACTGATTATCATGGCAGTATCATCCAGCTGCCTGCATTTATTATTTTTGTTGCATTTGCATCTGTCCTCGCTTAAGTTTTTCTTGCAGGATACAAAATAAAGATATTTTGGCATATTTGAGTCATGTTGTTTCCATGGGTTTTCTTTTCCTCTTCAGTTTTAAGTGACTCAACTGGTCAGCAACACACAGGGACCATCTGTCCAGTGTTTTCACTAGACTATTTACTTTTGTATCATCTCATCTGATCTCCTTTCAAACTTGGCCCCTCTTGTTTGAAATGCCCTTTTCCCTGGCATTGGTAAATAATTCTAGTTGTTCTTTGAAAGTTAACACATTTGCAAAACATAACTAGCTGTCCTTTTCTGACATCCCTAGTCCCCTGGGATGTTTTGTTTATGATCCTTTCAAGATGTATAATTACTATTGAATCTCCATGTTACAATGGGGGGAGGGATAGCTCAGTGGTTTGAGCATTGGCCAGCTAAACCCAGGGTTGGGAGTTCAATCCTTGAGGGGGCCATTTAGGGATCTGGGGCAAAAATCTGTCTGGGGATTGGTCCCCCTTTGAGCAGGGGGTTGGACTAGATGACCTCCGGAGGTTCCTTCCAACCCTGATACTCTATGAATATTGTCACCTATCACCCAATTTGCTTTGTATGAAAGGGGCATGAGCCCAGTGCTGCCATCAGTTACCTGCAGTAGAATCTCCTTTGCATATGGATAGGTGCAGTCCTGCACTCCCAACTCTCCAGCACATGACTATATATAATGTGTGAGTGGTGAAGGAGTTGGCACCAACATCCAGGGGCTCAGTCATTGCTGATAGTACCTAGAGCCAATATTGTTTCCAGTATGTAGGAAACAGTATATTATTTAATATAAAAAGCCCTTGATGAAGGTTGACAGCTGGGTTGTAAATGTCCCTTTATCGTCCACATCTATTGTATGTGCCACTTTTTCTTGTAGCCAAAGGAAGGGTGGGGCTGGGTGCAGCCTGTATTGGAGTCTTTCATAACCATATGTAAGGGAACTGTTGGCCCCTTACTAAAACTCAGTGGGGGTTTTTTGGTTGGCTGCTCCCAGTACCAAAAGAAAGGGGAAGGGTCGATGGGAAATCGGGACTCTGAGACTGACAGTCCCCTGGAATAATGAGGGGAGGCCAATGCTCCAGGTCTGCCTGATTGACAGAGCGGGCAGGTTAATGGAGTCAGGAGGCCAGAGGGGTCCCGTCCTCCGTGTGAGCTGGAATTGCCTGGAACAGAGTGGGGCTGAACTAAGGAGAGAGCAGGGGCCCGAGCTGAGCTGGGGAGCTGGGCCATGGCAGCCAGAGAAGCAGTCCAGGGAGCAGAGAGCAACAAAAGCCAGAAAAGCAGTCCTGGAAGCCAGTCAGAGCTGGGAGCAGAGACACAGAAGCAGCCTGCAGAGCAGACCTGTCCTGGGGGCAGAGCTGTAGCAACCAGAGCCAGAGACACAGCCCAGGGAGAGAAGACCTGTGCTGGGAGCAGAGCTGCAGCAACCAGAGCCAGAGAGGCCAGAAAAGCAGCCCAGGGATGAGGCAGAGTGGAGCTGGGGCTGGGGCTGGAGCAGTCCGGGGCCGGGTGCAGTGAGCAGCTGGGGAGAGTGAGGGGGGACCCTGGGCAGTGGGCCCAGCACAGGGAGACACCCCCCAGCCAAGATGCCGTGCAGGCCAGACTTGAAGGGGCATCATAACCCTCATGGGGGGGAGGGAGAGCTGATGCTAGGAAGAAGGGTCCTGCCACCTAGAGCCTGAAGGCGTGTGGCCATCACCAGAGGAAGTGTCTGACCCACCCTGCAGCACAGCCAGGGCCTGAGAAGGAGCCTGGGACATGTGAGGAACAGACTGAACTTCCCTGACATTCCAGAAACGCTGGTTGTGATGTCCCCATGCAACAGAGTGGGGTGATGTGTTTTCCTTTAACCTTTCCCATTTTTTCCTTATTTTTTTTAAATTGGTTGCTGTTTAATAAATTGTATTTGCTTTGAACTGTATGTAATGATCAGTGGGTCAGGGAAGCATCCAGTGCGGAGAGAGCATCCCGGAGTGGGGACACTCTAGCCCCTGCCCTAAGCAGGGGTGGCAAGTTTGTATAATTTTTGGTGTTGTCCAGAATGGGTCCAAGTCCCGCCCGCACCCCTCCCCTACTGCTGCCTTGTAAGCTGAGATATATTTTTTAAAATAATGTAAAAATGGACTGGAAACAGTAAGCATTTAACAGTTTTCCTATATTTCACAATGTGAGGGTGTGGGGGCATAAGGGCTCTGTGGTGGAGATGGGGATGAGGGGTTTGGGGTATGAGAGGGGGTCAGAGCTAGGGCAGAGGGTTGGGATGAGGGCTGTGAGGTGGGCCGGGGGTGAGGGATTTGGGGTGTGGGAGGGGCTCAGGGCTGGGGCAGAGGAGGGGTGGGGGTGAGGACTGTGAGGTGGGGCTGGGAATGAGAGGTTCACGGTGCAGGAGGGGGCTCAGGGCTAGGGCAGAGGGTTGGGGTGCGGGAGGGGTGAGGGCTCTGGCTGGGGGTGCAGGCTCAGGGGTGGGGCAGGGCTGGGGATGAGGAGTTTGGGGTGCAGGCAGGCTGCCCTGGGGCTGGGCCCAGAGAGGAGGACTCCACATTCCCACCAGCCCTCCCATGCTGGCAGCAGTGAGCTCTGGGCGAGGGGGGGCCCCCTCGCAGCACACTCACCCGGTACCGTCACTGCACGTGCTCCTAGGGGCCAGGCCCCTCTGTGGTGGGTGCTGGGGGAAGGCTGCCATCATGTGTTCGCCTCCTCCCTCAGCCTGCCCCTGGCGCTGCTTCCTTTTGTAGCCGGCAGTGGCCAGCGGGGGAGCACAGCGCAGAGCGTCAGGGCAGCCGCCCAGAGCGCAGGCAGGGACATAAGAACATGAGAACGGCCGTACCGGGTCAGACCAAAGGTCCATCTAGCCCAGTATCCTGTCTACCGACAGTGGCCAATGCCAGGTGCCCCAGAGGGAGTGAACGTAACAGGCAATGATCAAGTGATCTCTCTCCTGCCATCCATCTCCACCCTCTGACAAACAGAGGCTAGGGACACCATTCCTTACCCATCCTGGCTAATAGCCATGAATGGACGTAACCACCATGAATTTATCCAGTTCTCTTTTAAATGCTGTTATAGTCCTAGCCTTCACAACCTCCTCAGGTAAGGAGTTCCACAAGTTGACTGTGCGCTGCGTGAAGAAGAACTTCCTTGTATTTGTTTTAAACCTGCTGCCCATTAATTTAATTTGGTGACCCCTAGTTCTTGTATTATGGGAATAAGTAAATAACTTTTCCTTATCCCCTTTCTCCACATCACTCATCTCCACTATCATATCCCCCCAAAGGGTATGTCTACGCTACGGGATTATTCCGATTTTACAGAAACTGATTTTTGGAAACAGATTGTATAAAGTCGAGTGCACGCAGCCACACTAAGCACATTAATTCGGCAATGTGCGTCCATGTACCGAGGCTAGCGTCGACTTCCGGAGCGTTGCACTGTGGGTAGCTATCCCATAGCTATCCCATAGTTCCCACAGCCTCCCCCGCCCATTGGAATTCTGGGTTGAGCTCCCAATGCCTGATGGGGCAAAAAACATTGTCGCTGGTGGTTCTGGGTACAGCCTCACCCCTCCCCCCATGAAAGCAACAGCAGACAACCATTTCGCGCCTTTTTTCCTGGGTGAAAACTGCACTGCAGATGCCATACCACGTCAAGCATGGAGCCCGCTCAGCTCAAGACAGCAGTCATGAACATTGTAAACACCTCGCGCATTCTCGTGCAGTTTATGCTGAACCAGGACCAGAAAAACCAGGCAAGGAGGAGGCGGCGACTGCAGCGCGGCGACGAGAGTGATGAGGACATGGACACGGACGCAGAATTCTCTCAAACAGCGGGCCCCAGCGCTTTGGAGATCATGTTGTTAATGGGGCAGGTTCTACCCGTGGAACGCCAATTCTGGGCCCGGGAAACAAGCACAGACTGGTGGGACTGCATAGTGTTGCAGGTCTGGGATGATTCCCAGTGGCTGCGAAACTTTCTCATGCATAAGGGCACTTTCATGGAACTTTGTGACTTGCTTTCCCCTGCCCTGAAGCGCCAGAATACCAAGATGAGAGCAGCCCTCACAGTTGAGAAGCGAGTGGCGATAGCCCTGTGGAAGCTTGCAAC